CAGAGTCAAAGCTTCTTGCAAACAAAAGCCCAACTGATCCTGTTTTACGCCCCCCCACCTCAGTTCATGGAAAGCTTCAAAGCTTAAGGTGTGTGTGTGTGTGTCAAGGTGAGAAGGAGAATGTGTAGCCTTCCAAATGGTTGCAAGACTACAATTCCCATCAGCCTGAACCAGCTTAATCAGTATCCTTGTGAAGAGAGGTCAGGCTAAGGAATATTAAGTAGCTCATGGTCATTTATTGTATGTCACACCTCAAGGCAAAATTATACATTGTAGACTACACGGCACTAAAAGATGAAATTCCTTAGATACAAAAGCATCTGATAATCCTGGCAGAAGCCTTTGATACCTCCCAGAGTATGCATGGAAGCTCACTTTGTGATTTGCCAGGAGGACTGGCCAGTGAGCACAGGCTTCCTCTAAAACTATGATTGCTCCATCGTGGAGGTCTGCTTGAATGACGTCTCTAGAAGAGCCACTGGTTTGACCTTCTAGTGGTATTCTTTAGTACAGTTTGATGCTCAAATCAAACTGACTGTCATGTGAATTACCCTCAGCCATTCGTGCAAGAGAAGCAGGGGGATCTATGGAGCAAATGGGCAAAAGCAACAGGGCATCCCTCCATAAAAACAGCCACATTTCACTGTATATGTAAACCAGGCCAAACATCTGTTCAGAAGGAGGCACACCTCTTTGGCTTTTCTCGTGCAGTTAGAGAGAAAAGATGCCTCTGGAGAAACACACACACACACACACTATGGATAAACACAGCACAAAAGCTCTTTGGAAAGCCACATCCATGTGCATTTAATAACCTTTTCTGATTGCATAGCTAATCTTAAAAGGTCTGCATGTGCTTTCCTTATGCGCTGTAACAAAGCAACAAAACCAAGCAAAGCAAAACCAGAACCCATGCACATCCTTATACTGTTCTCCTTATGAGCGCTGGGAAGCACCCCTTCCCACGGAGCCAGTCCCTTTTTTTACTGTTACTATATCTTCGGGTCTTGAAATGCCTTTGAAACACTCACTCTCAAATATACTAGGTTTTACCTATTACACCTACGATGACATTACATACTTGTAACTACTTATTTCAGCCTCTGATCACAACACTTAAAGGAATGACGTTACTTGTAACTAGTTACTTTGGCCTCTGGTCCACGAAGAAGTTGTTTTGTGAGTCTCCCAGGGAAACTCCAGAGGTTGCAGCATAAGAGGGTTTCTCTCTCTCTCTCTCTCTCTCTCTCTGGCAACATCACACCTTTGCAGCTGAGAGAGACATACAGACATTTCTCTGTGGACAGAAAGCAAAACCAAACCTTAAAAACACATTTCCTCAAATGTGACCATTAAAAAATTACTAGCTGTGCATAGGGTTGTATAATTAGCTGGAATCATAGCCTGTGGTGGAATCACAGGAGCTGCCTTGTGAGTTCAGTGCAACCTGAAAGACAGGTAACAATACCTTTTAAGTAAGTAAACACTCCCTCCTATGGTAGCTACGTGCCCTCAGAGACAACAAAACTCAGTCTAAAGGCTGGACAGAGGACAAAATGTCCTTCATTTGAAGGGCTTCCCAGGCCAAGTCATGTTTAAATGTTTTGGGGTAGGGGGCATAAAAAATTTGAGGTTCATAAATGAAGGAAGACGAGGGGTTCTTGAAGCTGCCCATTATCCACAGTGAGGATTACCTTGAGGACAAACTGAGAAGCCTCCTGGTTCTATTCATCCCACTTGAGTGAGAGACACTCCAATTCTGTTTAAATCCCCCCTTTAAAAAAAAAACTTTCAAATTTTGCATCTGTATCTATAAATATTGAAGCTGAAGCTGTCATACTTTGGACACATCGGAGAAGGTGGGATTCTTTGGAAAAGACCCTTGTGCTAGGAAAGGAGGAAGGGGGCAGGAAAAGAGGGAGGCCAAACATGAGATGCACTGAGTCCCTAAAGGAAGCCATGGAGTTGAGTTTTCAAGACATGAGGAGGGCAGATGAGGAGAATGTGTTTGGGAGATCATTCGTTCATACTGTCACCATAAGCCAGAGGTGACTTGACGACTCATACATGCAACAACTTATAAATGAATAAATGGAGTTGTATGCAAATGGATTTCACTCTCCTTTTTGATGATGTAGATCTGTCCTTCTTGCTTACGAATCGGGCCAACCTTTAACTGGTGCTTTGTTCTTTTGCTCAGTTATCCAGGAATACAGTTTCCTGAAACTTTCCCACCATCAGGCCATGGACCTTCCCTTCTTCTTATTTATTTATCAGGCGCACATTATGAAAAGTGCTCGTAAAACTCAGTAATGCAACGGGAGGATTTGGAAATCGCGTCATCCGATAATAAATATCCACAATTGCAAAGGGATGGCTTTAATTGCCGGCGTGTCTCTATGGCAACTGAACAAAACTCTGACCTTTGTATACATTTTGTTCCTCCATCAACTTTTTCCCAGGAGGTGGGAAATGAATTCAAGGTTGTTAATGGAAAACGTCTTCCAGGCTGCTTTTTTTTGATTTGCCCGGCGACTCCCAGATTAAAAAGAAGCAGACGGAATTCACAGGGGGAAAAAAGAGAAGAAAGCAAAGTGATGCTAGATCTTGGAAACATTTGGGTTGAGTATTTTCCATATCTGTTCAAGGGAAATTTACATGCTGGGGAATCTTACCCATGACTACAAAAGCCCAGGAAGAGAAATCTAAGATAATGAGATCCATCTTGAAGAATGGAATTAAGGAGACGAGGCCGAGGCTGTAACAATGCTTGTAAAGGTTACTTTTGGGGGTGGGGGTCTTAACTCTCAGAACTGCCCAGATGGCAAGGCCACCCTGCTCCAAAAAGTGTCATGGGAATTCTAGCTAAATTAAACAGGCCTTTTCAAAGAACCTTACATTGTATAAATCCACAGGTCAGCCCTTTTTTTGATATGGATCTTGCATCCCTACCTAATCCACCATAAAGATGAAGATGTTAAAAACAGATCTTGCAAAGATCTGTCTAAGTAGTTTCACAAGTAAATCCCATGTGATGTGTTCAGATGTCACAACAAGTCACAGTTTGTATAAGCTATGATTTGTTGTTTAAACCACAGGTATGCCTGCCATACAAACCATGTTTGGTCTGCTCCGTTTCTGACAGGTTTTTCTCCTGCCCACTTTGCCTGAGCTTGTTCCAGTCTGGGTTGCTGGAAGAACAAAATGCCAGTGGTAAACCACAGTTACAGGTTTCGAAATCACAGCAAGCCACAGTGAAACAAGCCAGAGTTCATGAGCCAAGAAGAAACCAGGAACTCAGACAGTGGGTTCTGATCAGGCAACCAACCATAGCATGTGAGCAGAGGTGAGTCTGGGCATCACACTTCAACAAATCATGCCATGGCTTATCAAAACTTGTACAATGCTTCCATTACTCTGTCCAGCAAGATTTTCCTCCTCCATAAATGCTGGTTTTGTATCTCAGCACGGCGTAAAAGGGACTGAATTGTATTGCCACTTCCAGGGCTGGTTTTATATTACTCAGATTCAAAAGGTTGGTTTGTATAAATGTTGTTATCGGCAATCAGTTCCTTCATAAGCAGTTTTCGGATTCCTGTCCAAAGCTGGAAACAAATATGGGCAGGATTGTTTTTCCAGTTATAACATCCGACCCCCTGTAAACAAAGACGAGTCCAGTGTATACTCCATTTTATATCTGTTAAGATTCATGGCCGACGGAAATATCCCTCTTTATTTAAGATGACGTTTATACCACCTTGCTTAACTTTGCAGCAAGGAGAATAGCAGGGACGCCTGTACCCAAGCTGTATTTTGAAATTGTCTGGATCAGCCTTTGCCAGGGCCCCAGATCGAGAGGAAGAGCATGGAGGTATTGCTCCAGGAAATGGGGAAAGAAAGAGCTTGGCCATTTGGCATGATGAATATGGGTTTTTGTTGTGTTTGACTCTTGGTATCTTTACTTCTGCAAATGTACAGAGCTGTTGTTCTCGACTCGATGGAGCGGATCAAGGAGCCATGGCAGAAAGCTCAATCGTTTCCACCTTGCCCGTCTTTGAAGAATTCCCAAGCTTCAACAGCAGGATCACGTCCCCGAATCCAAAGTTGTGGAGCAAACACAGGCGGCCAGGCATTTTGGCCGCCTTGAAACAGCAGCCACGCTTCCGTGGGACGGCCGCGTCCTCAGGAGGTGGGAAAACTGTCCCCCTCCCCAAAATGCGGAGAGCTTGTCGAAGGTGCCTGGTTGCGCGGGCGAAAGGAAGGATTCCAGGATGCACCGAAGATTGCGTGGAGAGAATTTCGGGAGCCCTCACTCCAAACCAAATAGACTTGCAAAACTCTGTCAAAGGACTAAAGGGTTTGAAATAAAAAGCGTCAAGGATGATTGAGCCCCTTGAGTCCAGGACCGGCCAACCGGTCCCCAGTTTCCAGTCCTCTTCCAGGCTCATATTGGGCAGATTTGTCACTCCGCCTTAATCTCCCCTATCTCTTCTTTGGAAATGGTCTGCTTAAAAACAACAATCACGAAGAACTATACTGTGTATTTGAACACAGCGGATCTCTGGCTGTGCCCATGAATCGAACTGAGGCTGACAAGGTGCGACGGCTAGTAGGGCTATCAATGCCTTTAACATCAGTCCTCTGAGGCCGCCGCGGCTCTTTATGTCCTGGTCACGGAAGCTGCTTTAACTGGTGAATCGTGCGCTTCTTGTGCGCCACCATCATTAATTGATTGATTGAGTACGTAGGAAAATAAGGCTTCGGATTCGGCAGATACATTGCACCGCCTCTCTTATGCACCACGCTGGAAAGCTCGGTGGTTGAGGCCTCTGGTTGTGGAGCCCGAGGCTGAGAGTTCGAATCCTCCACTGGACCTCCTTGGCAGGGGCTGGACTGGATGATCCACAGGGTCCCTTCCAGCCCTTCCCTTCTAAGATTTTATCATTATTGTTGCTGATTGATTCATTGCAAATAGAAAAGGGAACCTCTGATTACTGCAAATGCTCTCGGGCCTAGTCCTCCAAGGTCAAGCCTGGTTGCTAAGACTCCCCTTGGTTACGGAGTCCCAAAAAGGAAGGGAGAACCGGAAACGGGTCTTTTTTTTAAATTCCCTTCCTTCCCCGGGCCGTTCCTGCCGAACTCTCGCGAGAGGAACGCCGGGCCAGACGAGGCGGCGGCGGCCGTTCTCGCGAGGCTTGGGCCCTCGGCGGGGCGGGCTCAGCGGGTGAGTGGCGGGCGAGGTGGGCGCCGGCGGAGGGCAAGATGGCGTCGGAGGGTGACTTAG